CCCCCTCCCGCCCCCCCCCAGGCCTGAAGCGAGGGCTGTGCCTGAAGATCAACCACTTCCCCGAGGACATGGAGTACGACCACGACAGCGCCGAGTACCTGCTCCGTGAGTCGCCATGGCAACCATCCAGCACCATGGCAACCATCCCAGCATCGCCATGGCAACCGTCCCATCACCATGGCAATCATCCCAGCATCGCCATGGCAACCATCCCAGCAACACCATGGCAACTGCATTGACATCACCATGGCAACGACCTCAGCATCACCGTGGTGACCACTCCATCACCATGGCAACCATCCCAGCATCGCCATGGCGACTACCCTGTCACCATGGCAACCATCCTAGCATCCCCATAGCAACTGCATTGACATCACCATGGCAACGAACACAGCATCGCCATGGCAACCATCCCAGCATCACCATGGCAACCATCCCAGCATCCCCATAGCAACTGTATTGGCATCACCATGGCAACCGCCTCAGTGTCACCATGGTGACATCCCAGCATCACCACAGCAACCACCCCTGACATCACCATGGCAACCGCCTGAGCATCACCATGGCAACCATCCCAGCATCCCCATAGCAACCGCCCCCCCCGCGGCCACGCCCCTTAGCAACGCGGTTCCCATGGCAACGCCCCCCTCCCCCAACACCCTCCCTCCACCCCCCCCGGGTAACGGATCAGGGATCTGCCTTCTGATTGGCTGCTGGCCAGGAGAGCCTCCCTGCTGATTGGCTGCTGCTCTCAGTGTGTGCCTGGCTCTGATTGGCTGATGGTGTCCTGGGGATTCTGTGCTTTGATTGGCTGTCGCTCCCTTTGCCCTTCACCCACTTCAGAAAATCTCCCTCCTGATTGGCCGCTGGCCTCTGAGCCTCTGTGCTCTGATTGGCTCCTGACCCCAAAGACCTTCTTCTCCGATTGGCTGGGGGCTGGCAGATCTGCACAGGTCTCTGATTGGTTCCTGGCCCTGAAGGCTCTGATTGGCCAAGGATGATGGATCCCATTCTGCTTCTGAGCCCTCATTGGTTGCCACTCTAGAGGTCTC